TTGTTCATCTGTGGGGATCTTGATTGTGTCATAACCATGCATCTCCGATGAGAAGCCCTCAAGCAATTTCTCGGTTTGGTTCTGGCATATATCCCGACAGAGACCTCGAATTTGTCGCCGACTTACGTCTGTTTTCCTAGGAGAATCTAGGAGAAGAGTCACTGGAGAGATGGTGGCTTAGAATAGCTCAGCAGCGTCACTTTGGCTTTCCAGATTTGACGACTTAGACTATTTAAGTAGGGTGATAGCCCAACTGTGGGAATTTTTAAGCAATAGCCGTAGGAAGTATCTTAATTACACAGAAGTACTTTTGCTCTGTGGAGCTTTTTCGGGTCGATAACCTGTTAGACGTTTCTCAAATCTCAAGCAACTAATTAGTACGATTTTTTTTTAGCCATCATTTTTCCCCATTTCATAACCGTTTTCATGTAAACCCGTATTTTTTTTGGTTTTACGGCATCACAGTGGCTGGTGGGTGTCCCTCTGGCTCCGGTCGACTGCCTGTCACCATTGTCCTTTGCCTAGACCTGCGTTGGTGTTGTCGGGTCGCTCCTCTATGATCGAGCTTGCAGGTAATGTGTTTGTAGAAAGGTGTGTGTTTGTGTTGGACGAATCTTTCCGGTTCTTTTTTTTTTTGGCCTTCTTTTGGACATTTTTTTGGTTTATTATTTATTTTAAATTTATATTTTGTTACTCATTAATATATATTTTTTTATCTGCAAAAACAATCAACAATGTATGAGAAGGAATGTGTAATTTTCTGCATTTTCCTTTTTGCTGGTTATTTTCTTGCTTCTTTTGTTCTTCTGTTGGGGGTATGTGGGGGTATGATGAAATTAATTACACTGAAATTTGATCTATCCAAAGGAGTAATGTGATTGGAACTCGATCGAGTCAGACATTGATTGTAGGAAAGAGATTGAATTTTTCAAAGGTGCAAGAATTGGAAGCCCAAGAATCCGAGACAATTCCTCTATTGCATTCTATATCAGTGAACTACTAACTCAAATGGATTATCAAATACATTGAGTTTTAGCCTTTAGAGTTTTATCTATTTTTTCTCTTTCTTTCTTCATGTATTGATACAACAAACCCTTTGCAGATTAACCTTTGTGAATCATTACTCTTCGTGATTTTGGTTGTTAAAAAGGCTACCGGTTTCACTATGGATGCCACAAATAGTTCACTATCTTCTGGAGAAACATCTTATGCAGACATCAAGTCTTTCTTTGATTCAGCCCCTCCTTTAAAGGATTCCGCTGAAATAAAAACAAAATTGGAAGAATTTATGCAAAAGAATCATGCGCCATTAAGTAAGTCTCGTGCTCTAATTTTGCCACTGCGATTTTGGATTTGTTTAATGTGTCTATCTTTAGGTAATGGAGAGGCTAATCGAGTTGTGTGCGTGACATCTGGCGGCACAACCGTTCCTTTGGAACAAAGATGTGTTCGGTACATTGACAACTTCAGCTCGGGTCATAGAGGGGCTGCATCCACAGAGTACACAATATTATAATTTGATTCTATTGGATTGTTTTCATGCTTTTATATTAATTTTTTATTCTATTTTTAAATTTTCTCACATTGAAATTAATTTATGAAATCACAGATATTTTTTGAAGGCTGGTTATGCTGTAGTATTTCTTCATCGGAGGTGACTCGTTTATCAAGACTACAAAACTGTAGACTAATAATATGTTCCATTATTCTTTTGGGATTAAATGTAGATGTTCTTGCAGAGGAACCTGCCAACCATACTGCCGGTCTCTTCCTGACGATCCATTACTTGAATGTTTTGAAGTTACTAATGAATCTAATATTACGGGTCAGTATTCTTTTTTGTTATTAGTCGATTTATAACTGACTACACAATATTAATATTCTTTTGCATGAATTTTTTGAAAGGATGTATTGGGGTCTTCTGTTCTGATGATGGATGCCCCTTTTACAGTGTAAAACAGTGAATGCATTCACATATGGATGTTAGGAGTAGATAGTGAACTATGTCCCTAACTAGAAAATTTCTATTTAATATATGCATATCCCTCTCTTGTTACCATGACTAAATTTCTAAATGATTTGACAATACAATCTTCCATTTCATCTCAGTGAATCCAATACATGCGAAAACAGTCGAGGGTGCAATCAGGGACAATCAGGGGGTGAGGATTACTATTCTTGTGAATTTTTATTTATTTTTTTATTTTTATTATTTATTTATTTATTTGTGCTTGTGATTTAGTGGGACCAACAGGACTGAATCTTTTATTATATTCTATTGCAGGCAGTCATAAGAGGCACCTTGTTAAAACTTCCCTTCACAACAATTTTTGAGTATCTGCAGGTTGTTTTTTGTTCAATTCTCCTGAAACTTTGGCTTATGTTATTTTACATCTTTTATCATAAAGGGTAAGTCATAAGTGTTGATATGATATCACATTAGCACGTCTGAGACAAGAAACTACTTCGGATTAGGTGGACTAAATCTACCAAGAAACCAAAATAAAATGCAAGAAAAAATTTTCTATGCAAACCAACCCCTTTGCATGACCCTCCTACATGTATTATTTGATTTAAATTCCTTATTTTACTTAAGATCACTGCCTGTATGCTCCGCAGATTTTGCAGTTGATTGCACTATCAATGAGGAGCCTCGGGTCCCGTGCTTTATTCTATCTTGCTGCTGCCGTTTCTGATTTTTATGTCCCCTGGGAGAGCATGGTAACTAACCAATAACTCACTCAAAGTGTCTATCGAAATTCAGCGAAAACAAGTCCACTCGTTGAATTTTACATTATCTGCTACGAAAGCAATTCCGTGAGTTCTTAAGAAAATTTGATTTTCAAGAATTAGAAAAATCTACAAAAGAAAAAATATTCTAAATATTTAGAAATCTCTTTATTGAATGTCAAGATTGCACACTTTAACTTTTAGGTGAAAAATTATTACTGGTTACTGGTGTAGTAGTTATTGTGGTTGAGATCCAATTCAGATAGTTGGATATTTATATTTTTTTAACATGTTCTTTAGTACGAAAAACACACATCCCTTGTATTGTTACTGCCTTAGCTCTTAATATGATTACTAAAACGAGGGGTTTGGTGTTATTTATTTCACAATTTGGTCGAGTCGATGTAGGCAGTGCACAAGATCCAATCGAGCTCTGGTCCTCTAGACATGAGACTTGCCCAGGTCCCAAAGATGCTTTCAGTGCTTAGAAAAGATTGGGCCCCTGCCGCTTTTTGCATTTCTTTTAAGGTAAGGCCTTTTCACCGACTCAACTCAGATATAAATTATCTATGCTATCCTGTGAATTCAAAACTATAAAATAAATGATGCAAAGAAATGGTGCAATGGATGTTCATTAAACTTCAGAAGTTCTTACAGAAACAATCTTCTTGAACTTCATATTTTCTTAGTTTCCTTCACATAAACATTGATTCTTCTATTCTCTGTAAAATGGATGATTACTAAAGCCTCATCAAATCTTTTGGAGGTTTTTTTGTTAAAAAATAAAATAAAAAATTCTTTCAACTAATAAAAAGCACGCTTATTTCTGCTTGTATGTGACAGCTAGAAACTGATATAAAGATTCTACTAGCGAAGGCTGGGATGGCCCTTGAGAAATACAACATGCACATGGTCGTGGCTAACGAGCTGTTGACACGTAAGGAGGAAGTTATTGTTGTTGA